TCTGCTCCGGTCGGACATCTGTGGGTGGGCGGGTGCGGCCGACGTTCGGGTCGGTACTTGCAGCTTGATAGGGCGCCATAAGAGTACCTCTCTTGGAAAACGCACCATGCAGAGTCCGCTCGCGGTCGCTGAAATCTGTCGCATTGTGCGTATTAATCCACCACGTATCGGGGATTTATCGTGCCACTTGCGAATATGACATTAACTTAGTCTGAGCAGCCTAATCAGAGCAGTATGGACGTCGGGCACAAAAGTCCTTGTGGCCTTGCGCTTGCAGACGTCAAACACGTCCGAACCGAGCCGAAGCGGAATTCGTGTTCAGGAGGTCGAACTTTCCTGGAGCGATTTTTTAGCCAAGCCTTCTTCGGAAGAAAAGGAATTAGGCGTGATCGAAGTCGTGTCTGATTTTCGCTGAGATGGGCAGAAAAATATAAATAGTTCAGTGAAAAAGCGACTGTCGACAGAACTCTAAATGTAAGCCCTCTTGGAGTTAAACTGAAGAACTACTAACTCCTGAGAAACAGACGACAAACCGGTTAAAGTACACAGAAGAGCGAACCGTATATAGCGATTGGTAACGGAAATGGTATTGGAGGAGCGACACTTGAATGGATCGCGATAATTGTTGCGACCCTCTAAGGTTCCTATCAAACACTTTGGAGCCTTAAAATGATAGACACTTTGCCAACTATCACAGGAGCATGACTTGACATGGCAGTTTCAGTTTTTCGCAGGGCTAAACAAGCTGCGGAGGGGCCCCTTAAGACCGAAACACCTCGTTCTTCGATCTTTCTCTGGTTCGAATCCGCCTTGTCCGCTCAAATTTCATTGTCCAATTTCGCAGAGCCTAACTCGTCCAGTATTAGAGCACGAAAATTTTCCAAAGAGCGCACCCTTCGGAAAGTTCATTAGGAGTTCTCTAAATTTGAAGGAGAACATGTTCTTGTGTTACCTGCAATATTTGTGTGCATGTGCCTAGAAGAGGTGTCGCGCAGTGAGGAGGAGCAGATGTCGGTATTCTTGATCGGGTAGTCTGCAGCAGGCTTTCCCTTGAAGGGGATATGTAGTTGAATGTCTATAGTGTTTCCTTTCCATTGAAGGAGAATGGACACAGTGCAATGCTCACCTTGATGTATGTTAGGTTCGTAAAGCTGGCACTGCGTGCCAGCTGTTTTGGTTTAACCCAGATGTCTGTGATGTAATTGCTGTACATATTTTGGGCACGAGCTCGTTCCACATACTGCCTGGAACGTGGGAGATCGTGACGGTCCAAAAAAATTCAATAAAGGAATTTGAAGGAAGTTGAAGAAAAGGTAATTTTCAAACACCTTATTTTCTAAACTCTCAGGTTGTTCCCCTATTGTAAACACTCTTCAATAACCTACGAGAATGGAAAAGATTGTGTGGGAGGGGTGGCGTGGTCTAAACTAGAAAACCTACCAGTTTCGCGGCGAAAGTTGTAAGGTGAAGGATCTAAGGCAGGGCACATCAGGCACATCATTGGTTGGGGATTTTAGTCGAGTCCGTACGACCCCTCCCTTTTCCCTTTTTTCGGAAGGGTTGGTACGACCCCTCCCCCTCCGGCCCTCTGTCCCTCCTCATCGAATCGAGCCGTCGAGTGGGGGGAGGGTATAGTACACAACAGGAAAACAGGAAGATCACGAATCACGAAGTCACGAAGTCAACCACCACTCCTAGATGGCCAAAAGGTAAATGCTACCCCCCCCCGCTTCCAACAGTCAGCTAGTACGACTCCTCCCCCTTTTTACAACGTCTGTGAAGCGAGAAAAATCAATTAAAAACAGATTGCTGATATACGACCCCACCCCCCTCCTAGCGGCCAAATACGACCTCCCCCCTGTTGAGGATTCCCCGACAACGATGTGCCCTGATCTAGGAGAAAAGTTGCTCTAGGTTCTAGGCAATTAGCTTTTTTTCTAGTGAATCCGCCTTCTCACCCTGTCCTCGTAGTTTGCCCTCCAGCGGAAAGCGATGCTACCGAACAAGTAGCATGAAATGGATGCTCCATTGTCTCTTGTGGGGCCACAGGATTTGTTAAGAGGAGTCAGCAGACGGGACTCTTCCCAACTAGCGGTCTTTTGACTTCCTCGTACGATTATTTGGGTTACAGGGTCCTATCAAAAGCGTTTCTCGACGTTCCTTGAGCATTTTCTTTTCACAGACGAGTCACGTAGCAACTTCTCTTCCGTGTTTCACCCCAAATCTACGCTCCCTATGGCACCGTGCCTTCAGGTCTAGGTACGAACTACTCATGCACATTGTCTAAACTAAAATTCCACTGAGTTTTCTGTTTGCACCGTTTACGATCAACTCAGATTCCCGCTGAGATTTTCGATTTAGAAATGTTCTGGGAGTTCTGGATCTCCTGAGCTTCCGAAAGGGTTTTGCTTTTGTTTCAGCTCACCTCTGGAGTTCAAAAACAAGATGTACGTCATACCAGGGGAGGTCCGAAATTCAGCACAAAGTGGCGAAAAATCAATTAATCCCATTGTGCTAAACGACAGGTGGCGTCGCCATTCATGAACCCTCGCTCTGCTCATCCATCAGTTCGGGAAATCTCATCGACAGCATGCTAGATACGAGGGCGACATGGAAACGTAAAGTGGCGGCCCATTAGATGAATCCCATTCTACGGGCCACATACTCAACACGAAGCAGAAACAAGGAAGTGGTTCAGAGCAATGTGCATTCTAGGAGGCTTTATCCCTTCTCTAAGAAAACCCTCGGATCCCAATATTATGAGATTCATGGATGATTTATAAACAAAAAATTCCTGATGTCCAGGCAACCTAATGTAATAGAAAAGAAGATATTTCGGGAAAGGGGCAGAGAGGAACCCTCTCGGAAAATAACATTCCACAGCCTGAGTAAGATGACCACATGGCTGCGGGCTATATTGAGCTTCACTGAAAAACTACACACCTTTTGATTATGTTAGCTGCTGTCTGACGCCGCAAATCGCGCTTCGAATGTCATCATAGGAATGCTGAATCATGGGTTTAATGTTCGCGGTTTTGCCGAGACTCTTACCCCTTTCTCCCCGTTCTATAACCTTGACCCTCGCTAATCGAGTTAATGCGCTCTCCATCGAGCCAGCTTCTTCCATCGTCGCTTGCTTTTTTCTCACTTCGTGGATGGAACTCACCTTTCAGTTCTTTCTGAGTACTTTGAACCAGGTAGCATTTCTTATTCCCTGTATGAAGTTATTTTTCGAAGAACCTATGAAGGCCGAGGAGAAAGAAAAAGGATAGGAGCGTTCATCACTTATGCGCCAGCGCCCCCCCCCCCCCTTCACCAGCGGACCCTAAGCGTTTCGAGCGTCCGTCAGCATTAGCGACTAGAAAATTATAGATATCGATCTAGCGAACGACAACGGTCTACTAGCGTCTTCTAGCGTCCACCAGCGTCCACCAGCGACCAAGTGTACGGTGCTATGTAGAACTACGGTGCGGTTGCACATGCTATAATTTCGCGTCGTCCAATCCAGCTGCCCACTTCCTCCTACTTCCTCATACGGTCTATTCCTGGTCAGTAGGTACAACGATGAGGCTAGATCGATTATCCGAACTTTCCTAGCCTTTCTAGACGCTGATGGTTGCCGGCGGACGCTGGTGGACGCTGGTGACGCTGGTAGAAGCTAGGCCGATTCCCATAGTTCCCTAGTCTCTCAAGCCGTATGGACGCAGCCCTATGTTTCTCATGCTGTCGGTGCTATTCCACGCTCTTGCCGTGGACTAATGAGTGCCAGAGTGGCCAAGAAAAGGAACGGGGTCTCGCTCTGGAAAATCCCACGAGTAATGGCATGGGTCCTAGTGACTGATCTCCTAAGAGCATGAGCTATGAAAGTAGCTTGAAAAGTTCACCCTTGTTAATGAGATCACTTTGCGAGCATGAACAGTAGAACTAAGTTCTATAAGAAAACGCAAAACCACGTCCGAATGCCCTTTGTCGTTTTTCGTTGGCTGTTTCTCAGCGCTCGCAAGAACTCTCCGATTTCGTGAGTCATCACGTTGACGTCAATATTACAGCGTTCGTATGGCCGAGATGTGAGAAAAATACCCTCCTGTTTGCCCTGCAATCCCCAAACTATAGCCAAAAGACAAAGGTTGTACGTTAGAAGACAGAAAATGCCTATGCCGTATCTACCCTTACGAAAAGAAAGGTATAAACATAGAATGTGCTGTCTACAACCAAAAAAGACGCTGTGTGAAGCGCCGCCCACGCTTTCAGCGCGGAAGATGATCTGCCTATAAAATGCCTATTGCGGCTTTGTTGGAGAACCCCTTTAATGAACCTTTCTAGAGCGTTGCTGCATATTTCATCCCAATCCCAATTTTACAAATTCCCTCAAACTTTTCCAGCGATTTATCAAGCAAAATATTTTGACCCTTCCTTACTCCGTCGAAATGTTGAGATCACAACAATAAATACTGAGACTGGGCGGGAGCAGAAGGGGCGGAATGAGCCCGCCTTCGGCTGCTTTGCTCTACCAATGAAGATCGGTTCAGGGCACATCATCGTTGGGGACTTCCCCAACAGGGAGGGGGAGGTCGTATTTGGTTGCTGGGGGAGGAAGGGTTGTAGGCCTGGGGAAAATTCTTTTGATAAATGATTTTTCCTTGTTTTAGTGACGCTATAAAGGGGGGGGGGAAGAGGCGTACATGGCAGGGCACACAATATTTTGGTGGATCCCCAATTGTGAAGGGCCGTACTTAGGCCGTGCAGAGAAGGGACGTCGTGTATTGGCTAAGATCCATTCATTTTGATAGTTTACTTTTTCTCGCTTCACCAGACGTTGTAACAGGGGGAGGGGGTCGTAGGGTCGTGCCTGCCTCAGCGTTGGGGGAACGGTCTTTTAGACTTCTATGGATGGTTGGGAGTTTTGGTTGAGCTTTTCGTGATTTCCTTGGCTCATATGTAGTTGTATACAGGGGGGGGCAAAAAAAAAGTCATTTTGCCTCCATGACTTTCAAGGCGCTATAAGTTACACTTTATTAAATTTTTATCGGACATTTTTACTACCATATTAAAGAGCACATTAAATACTATAATGATACTCCGCCACAGCCTTCTGGAGGAGCGCCATCGAGAGATTCTGGCACGCGACCGCGATGGGTACCTGAGATCAGCTGGGTAGTCGACTTTCTCATACTACACCGTGTAGACCACCCCTGTTGAACTCCGCCCGAACTAGGTAATTGAGTGGGTTCAGGTCAGGGGACATACTTCAATATTACATCTTCTTCAGGTACGAAACGCCCTTCCATTCGAAGTAGGCGGGAGTTTTTCCAAAACCCTTTGATTCCATGTGGTGGCACCCAAACCTGTAGCAGCACAAGGTCTCCAAGAAGGTACGGGCGACCACATGTAGGGAGGATATTCTTCTCGAGTTACTTGATGTAACCGCCAGCGCTCACCTTCAGTCGGGGTCTACAAAGAAAATATCGGTCTTCCCCTTTCCAGGTACCCCGGTCCATACCATCAACTCGCGCCTCGGCGAATACGGTGAAGATGATGTCCTAGACCGTAGCGACGTTGCCGTAGCTGCTCGATGTGGGAGGTCTTGCAGATCAAGAGTACTGACCTCCAGGTAGCTATCTGTGGATGACTTCATTCAAGAAGTTTCGCAGCTGTTTGGAGGCGACGTGAATTCCAAAGGTGTTCTCCAGTCAGGCCGCGACTGGAGATGACTTCATATTTTGGCGTACATGAAGGCGATTGGCGGCAGCCTGCTCCAGCTTACAGATCTTGGTCTACTTCCACTTCTGGTATCTCATATGCCACTCCCCTGTCCTGGCTGCGAAGAATCGTTGATATGTGCTAGGCGGAAAATACTTTTTTTTTTTGGCCCGCGCAATGTATTAACTCACTTCCTCTTTCCCCCCCCCTCCGTCGACAGCCCAGAAATTTTTGAAAATAGGAATTCTTGAGCCTTTGGAAAATGTGGCAGACGTTGGGAAAACTGAAAAAACCTGTAGAAGGGGGAGTGGTCGTATTATCTCGCGGGCTTTCCCTGTTTCACATGCTATTTACCCTACTCACCCCCCCCCGTTGCGACGGCTACGATTCGACTTGAAGGGACAGGGCCGGAGTGGGGGGGTCGACCAGACCCCCTCAAAAAAGGGGATGCGCGCTTCGTACTTGCTAAATCCCCAAGCAATGATGTGCCCCGGTACACCTTATGCACCTGAGATAGGAGTAGGCGTGGCATTTTGAACATGGCACGGAACTGGTTACTCGTGGAATATTCCAATCTGAGGACAACTGTCATCTTGTTCTGTGTTGGACAGAGACACGACAACAGTTGTGTCAAGATGGAAATACTTCCACAAAAGCATAGTACACCTCCAGGTAATTGATAAAATTCGGCTCCACGCCTAGCCGATCAGTCAGGGATCTCGAGTATACTTGGTTTGGGCAAGTAATTTTTGAACAGGTGGTTTTTCCTTTGTTTTATTATGATGCTAATCAAGGGGAGGGGCGGTCATCTTTCCTGAGAAAAAAATTATTTTGACTAAACGATTTTTCTTAGTTTCAGGATCGCTGCAAAGGAGGGGGAGCGCATTCGTCTCTCTGCCTGAAGAGCTTGTTGACCATTTTGTGCACTTTCGCCTGTTATAAAATGTTGGTTATATATATATGCCCCTCGCATCGATAGTCCGATGGGAGGTGAACTAGAAGGAGGGAAAGGCTCGTATCAAGGACTATCCCGCTAGGGGAGGGTCGGGAGGATGGAGCTAACTCTCCGCACTGATGTGCCCTAGATCGGTTAGTGATCGGTTTAAGAACAATCCGCGGTGTCAACTCGTTCAGTCCTTGCTCAAACCACCCTGTCTAATTGCGATGTTATAAACTGTATATATTTCTTCATAGTTTCCAACTCACGTTCTTGGATACTCTCTCCACCATTTCGTTTCGTGATCGACGTCGTCTTTGGCAAAACGAGCAGCAGTCGATGGTGTCATATCCTTCCCAACTTCACAAAAAACGACACGATAAAATTGACAAGCAAATGTGTACGGCACTCACTGACGACAACCACATAGACTTTTGGAAGAAGTTTCAAGCATTGATAGTGTGAAAGTCAAGGCATGTATCGCTCTCAAGAGCTTGTGATGAGCTGAGGTTTTGTCACGTTTGGCCGCTGCTCCAGCCCGTTTCCCCAATTGTTGTGGTTTAATAATTTTATTAGCGGCGAGCCAATTAGAAACAAAGAAAAACAACTATTGGGGAAATGGAATACACTCCAAAGCACAGATGATCCGTTTCGCCCGTTATCGAAACCTATGACATGCCCCCTATGACACGCCCGAGCATCCGCAGTGAACAAGACTCACGCAGCATTCGGACCAGGAGCTAATTGGTTTAACGTGAAACTCCTGTAGTGTGCCAATCAGAATGGCTAAGCGATGACTACAGCCACATGCTATGCATCACCGACAATGATGGACCTTTTGACCCTGTGGAGACTCGTTTGATACTTCCGGAGCTGTGGAGGTACTTGCGTCGAAATTACTACAGAACCGCAGCGAACACACAGTCAGAGTCAGAGAACGCCCGGACGTGAGTAGGTTCAGACAAGCAGTACTTCTCTGGTAATCTGGCTATGGTTAGGCACGTGGCTGGAAGTGCGGCAGGGCGGGCGCAAGCGGAAGACGTCTCCGGGTCTCCGGGTTCCATTACCCTGCAGCCCCATTTCAACGCACCTTTGTGCGAAGAAGGTGGCACGCTCTGCAGCTGCGCACCCATTCCCCTTGCACGTGGCAGGGACTAGAGTATACCGATTTGTTTTACAGTTCCTCATCGAGGGATTTGGGCCTTTCGGAGGTTCTCACCACAGCAGGGCTGAGTAGCTCTAGAATTCAGCTATAAAAGCAGGCCGTAGACCTCAAATAAGATCCTCATAAGCCATACGACTGCCTAATGGCCGCGTGTTTTATGATCGCTTACTCTTCCTTCTCTCCCAGAGCAATCTTCACGACACAGCTGGCCAAGATAAAGCCGTGTACAGCGTCTTAGAAGGAGGATTGTGCTAGTCGTTGGTCACTAGGTGCATCCCAAAAATGCTGCTTACCTACTGGTAGTTACGTTCAGCTGTGCGCCCAGGGGTTGAGTAAACGGTCGTCATTCCGTGTTGGTGGCCGACTATAGTGGTGCCTAACGCTGTAGAATAAAACATTTCCGAAGCTTGCGAGGCGGTATTAACGAGATATGTGTGTCATGGCGAGAGGACACATGCTTCCTGCGGATGCTGTTGGCCTCTTCGACTGAGTGTCTTCTACAGCTTTACAAAATGGGAGACGTAGAGAGTAATGTTGCCTTAATGGGGTACCTGGTAACTTAAAGGGAAGAGCCTGCGATTACTCGCCATCTCAGATGGTGGATTAGGGAGTTCCATATAGACGACGAGGAGTTGAGAAACTCGACTGTGGACAAAAAACACAAGAACATGCCACCCTGCCCTAGCATAGAGAACCTATTTCGCTCCCCCAAAAGCCAACAGGGCACAGCATTCGATGGGGATTTTGGTCGAGCCTGTACGACCCCCCCTTTTTGGGGGTTCGGTACGACCCCCCCACCTTTTTTTGGGGGTTCGGTACGAGCCGCCCCCCCTTTTTGCCGTTCGGTTTTTTCGCCTTAAATGAAACTATGAAACGCCCACTATGAAATTCTACTTGTATGAAGGTGCCCATACTAAATGGACGACTTGAAGTCATGACATAATAGAACAATACAGAGATGATTGCAAACAAAAAACGGTACAATCGTATTATGAGAAACTCGTATGATGAACTTCTTCGATGGCCGTTTTGAAACACACATGGTAATAATAACATGTATCGCGATTAAATTCAATGAGCATTCGTTAACCTGAGGTGGACTCCCTCTCTGGGAGCGGCCATCAGCGACCACAGTGTTAACAACGTCTATTCCCAAGATTGAGGACGAGGAAAAGAGAAAGTTAGGCTTGTCTCACTACGTAACAGTTATACAAACCGCCGTAAAAATGCATTACCCACGCCCGATTATGTGGAGTACGGTAGCAGAAGCGCATGTAATTGCGGCTGTGACAGGAGATTATTCGGCAATTTTAGCCATGGAGCGAGAATTTCCAGCTGAGTTAGGTGTCTTTGAAGGACCATAACTTCCTCAAAAGCGGACCTGTGGGGAAGAGGAGACCGTACTCGTGTAGAGGAAGGTTTGCACTTCCTAAAAGTACTAAAACGTTTATGAACGTCGCAAAAATCACAGAGAAATCTGCCATAGGGATTCGTTGGGGAGTGGTTTCAACCGAACAGGTTTGAATCAATATATTTTTTTGTAACTCAACATTTCACAAATCTGAGAATGGTTTCGAGTGTTTGAAGATTTTCTCTTTCTAAAAACCTCTTGAACTGTTTCTGAAGCTCTCGGGATTCATGAGATCTCGCTATGGGGATTTCTTGAGGAACACTCCCAGCTGCGCGAAAAACCCGTTTCCTGTGTACCGTTTCAAGTGAGGGCGTGTTTCGAACTAAGCCCAGGAACGCATGTAGAACGTATCCTGGTGGTGGGGGCGAGAGGAGGGGAAAGCAGGAGCAGGATCATGGTTCGTTTTTAGCGGCCGATCACGCAACTTTGGATACACGCGCACTGAGGGCCGCGCAGAGGTGATGGGATGGTGCAACTTGTGCGTAATGTCTGTTCACAATCGGTCAAATGTGTCTATAAGGTTCAGGGAGGTCCACGGCGAGCCTGTGCACTTGTTTACAGTGTTTTCCGTATGATGGAACATGTCCCTGTCACGCTGCCAGATTCGTGCTCCGCCAATCGCTGACTCCGATAAAGGAGACCAACTGCTGGAAAACGTCTGATATGAACGATATGGTAGTCCTGTCGCTTGTCGAGAAAAAAACAGGTTGGCTCAGCCAGCGCGACCCTGCGGACACGTGGTAGCCATATCCATTGGCAGGACAGGGTTTGAGTTGTACTGTTTAGTCACCAACGGACTTACGAGATAATGTCGACTTATTAATATTGCAGTTATTTCGGATTAGTTTGATGAATGAAAGTTTTGTACTATTTTTTTTGCATATCCGAGTTCTCTACAAAGCAAGTTTCGTTGTACAGGACTCAGCACATTGACAATTTGCGCTGCTCGTTACTGGCTGCCGCACTCACTACGACCCCCCCCCTCTCTGGCGGCCAAATACGACCCCCCTGTTGGGGATTCCCCAACCAACGATGTGCCCTGGCTCGTAGTTGTACGTTGCCCAATCAATTCTATCTCGCAAGAAACTACGCCACCTATGCACGGCTGATTCACGATTCACAGATTTCTACGATGTACAGTGACGATTATCATGCTTTTTCGTCCTGCAATCTCATTTTTCACTGGAAGTCGGTCATTAGGGGCGGAGTCTGGAGGCGGAGTCACTGGAAAAAAGGAGGAGCCACTGAACCTATATTGCGCTCCCTCCCATAGAATTTTTTGCCGCGAAACCGTACAAGGTTGTTGCCTCGGCACTCTAACCTCCTGACGAACCATATTAACTTCGATACGTGTATCGAGGACCGTGTCTTTAATGCTCTGGAATCTTCCACGGAGCCATACTCTACCGATTGCACAACCCTCAGAGAACACTCTCTACCTGATCAAGGTGTGAAAATACTCAAAGTTTTTTTTCTAGAGCAATTTAATCCATGTGTTGCAGGACGTTTTTCCAACCAAACACTTCCGCTCAGAATGGTAGTGGCTCATTGAGCGCGATGCGGCTTATACAGTGAACTTGCAGGAGCCAGCCAATGTAGGAGGACAGCCGATACACAAGGCACTGTTCTGATCTTTCCAGCCGATCTCTTGGTTTAGCCAATCTAGGTCCCCGTGTGGTCAAGGGTTGGCAGACGCTGGGCAGAGCCTTACTCGTGAGTTTGACCCGTGAAAGCTCGGCGCGCGTGTGGGCAAGGTGCTGCTTGTCCACTACAGACCGACCTCAGCCTCCATCATCAGTTTCATAATATTATTAGGTTGTCCGGAAAGTTCTTAGCGTTTTGTGCACCTAATCTTTGTACATTCACTGCTGATTGAAAACTCATTCTGCCTTGCTTCTCCAGGTAGGCACTCCTGTCACAGAAATTTCTTGCGTATCTGATGTATATTGCCGTTTCAGCCGTTGCTTGATTTGAAGCCTCCTTTTTTCAAGACTTGTTTGAAGTCTATGGTGGAAAGCAGCACTTCGGACGATTTTTGCTTCGCACTATAAGGGGCCAATGCGAAAGCAGCTTCAACAAATAAACCAGGTGTGGGGGCCCAATAGTGCTTGAGAAAGCACTGTGCTGCAATGGCTCAACAAAGTTCGTTCAGGAGATTTCAGCATTGAAGATGAACCTCATGGCAGTCGACCTAAAGCAATATCTGACGAGGATTTTGAGGAGATTTTGAAGGTTGACCCATCCCAAACAGTTCGAGAGATAGCAGAAGAGCTAGGCCTTGGCAAATCCACTGTTGCAGATGGTCTGGAACGCATTGGGAAGGTGAAAAAACTCGACAATTGGGTGCCCCACAATCGGAGTGACCGGCAGGAATCGGCACGTCTCGAGGTTCCTTCTTCACTGCTTTTGCGCAAAAGAATTGACCCGTTTTTGAACGGATTTGTCACCTGTGATGAAAAATGGATCATGTATGATAACAGGAGACGTTCCGGACAGTGGTTGGATTTGGAGGAACCACCGAGGTAATTTTCAAAGCCGAACCCTCGCGAAAAAAAAATTCTGGTCAGGTTTGGTGGTCATCGGCTGTTGTAATCCACTATAACTTTTCATCACCAGGCCAAACCATCACAGCAGAACCTACTACTGTGAACAAACCGACGCAAATGTACGAAAATCATTGGTCAGCTGTGCAGCAACACGCCTTATCAACAAAGAAAGGGTCCTGATTCTTTTGCATGAAACGGCCCGCCCACACGTTCACAAATCACTATCC